GCCCTGGGTGCCCGCGGGTCTGGATGTGGGCTCCGGGGAGCGGAGGGTTTCTATTCCTGAGCCTCTTCTCTCGGTGCCTGGAGAGAGAACTGAATTCAGATGGTGGTGTTTAAGGGACTCGCTCCTGGTGAGCCCTCGCCACAGACTTTCTTTCAACCACAGAAGAGCTGTGCTGAGTGGAGAGAGCGGTGTTGGGCCAGGAGCCCGGGGCATTTAAGGTGTATCTTGGGTTTCTCACCTATGATGGAGCTGGGACAAACAAGGTTACAGATATTCAGGTGATGCATTCTGAAAAAAACCTCTCTGAAGAGGTCACTCTGTTTTTGGTAACTGTGTTTTGGGAAATGGCAGTTCCAGAAAGTGTCATGTCACAAAATAGCTCATGCCAGCCTATGGCACAGGCCACCGGTGACACCGACTCGGAGACTGTGACTTTCTGCCCTCAAACCAGGTGAACAGACACGGATGGGTGGCTATCCCCATCATTGGGCTTCCTGTTCTCCCTCCATTTATTCTCATCGCCCGCACAGTGCGTGACATCTCACGGATCTGGCGGGCGCAGGTGCAGCTAAAAAGCAGGGAGAGGTTTTTATTACTTTCCAGCCCCATTCACCACGGAGTAGTGACTGCAGCAGCCTCTCAAGCTGCTGGTGATAAAACCTTTCAAATGAAACCGCCTCTCTGCAAAGATAAAGAAAGCTGGATTCACAGCCTGACTGCCTTGCATCTTACAGCCCCCCTCTCCCCGTTTTTAAAGGCAGGCTGTGAACACTATTTTTAAAGCCAGCAATGAAACTCCGCACTTGCACAATATGACCTGCCCTCCATGCATACAGATGCTGCTGCCTCTGAGTCAGACTCTCACTCGCTGCCCCCAACCCTGGCAAACGAAGGGATGCAGAGGCCTGGGAGGCCTGGGAGGCCTGGGGTCCGTTGCCCCTGCCCCTCGGTGCTCCTCTGCATTCCAGAGCGTGGCCCTGGAGAGAGCGCTCAGGGAGATGCTTGGACATATCCTGGAGGATTCTGCAGAATTCTGACAGGCGAGCAGGAGGTCAGTGGAGTTTACCCTCTGAAGCCAGCTGGGAAGGTGGAGACGCAATCTGTTTCGTAAGGCGAACATCTGGTAACAGGCTGGTCTGTCTGCCAGGCCAGGAGACCACCCCTGAGCAGTATTTCTAATTGCTCCTTTTCGGTGCTGTTTTTGCACAAACACACTGAATCCAGATCGAGAGGTGATTACTAATAGCTTATGCTTTACGATTGTTCCAAGTGCACAGAAAAGGGGGGGAAAAAGCTTCCCAGTTTATTTCTTGAAGCGACTGTAACAGTAACCGCACAGCGACTCCATTGCTTTAACATGGCCCTTTCTTCTTTCTGTCCGTCCACTCCCTTCCTGATTATTAGGCTCTCAGGACATCAGATTCCGGTGAGTATCAAACAGTCTTAAGAACACAGCCTCAGGTCTGCTGACCACAGAAACAGAGTTGCAGTCGAGCTAAAGATAACATCTTGACTCCAGCCCCAGGCCCAGGAAAGCTGAACTGACCCTACAGACTACACCCTCACGAAACCAGACACAACAAGCCCGGGCTGATGTCAGGGCCTGATACAACAATCAGCTCCCACCCTGGCCCCAGCCAATCAATAGAGCTCACAACTCCAGCTCCTTTAGCCACGGTGATTAATGATTTTTCCCCTATTAACCCACGCCCTGGAAGCCATCGGGGAGCCAGGTCTTTGAGCACTAGCTTAACTGTGACTCTGGGCTTGGCGCCATTTTCTCACCCAATAAACCCTTAATTTCGTGGCTGCAAACTCCTGTTCACATTTTTTGGGGCTTTGATGAGAGCAAGTGAACGAACCCAGAGCACGTCAGGTCAGTGATGGAAGGTAATATGATGTAACCCTGGTACCAACATCTGACAAATCTCGTCATGACTTCACACACACAGGACCAATATCATTTACAACAGATGCCCAAGTTCTAAATAAAATACTAGCCAAAGGATATTGAGCAAGAGTAAAAACTGGTCAAATGGGTTCCAAGCCGAAGTCTCACATGCAGCCTTCTACTTACAGTGCACCCTGCGTGCCCTCTGAAGCTAAAGTTCTAGGGTGACAGGGGTGCGGAGGTCCTTCCATCGCTGACCTGATGTGCTCTGGGGAGAAACAATGAGGGTGGACCAAGAACCGAGCATCAGGGAAGCCTCTCCAAGGGCAAGGACGGCCCCGACGGTTCGCCCTTTATCCACAACAAAAGGGGATGCAGAGCTGCCTTGACTGGGGGGAGCGCTGGCTTCTTGACCCCTCCTACACCAGTCCAAGGGTGGCAGGGGGAAGAAGGCGGAATATAAAGATCTAATCCAAATGAAAAGACATGCCATTTTTCTGGATGAAAAGACTCAGTGTGTGGCCTGGCACTTCTTCCCAAACCAATTTCTATGCGCCCCACGACCTGATGGGACTCTAGTTGCATTGACTTTGACTCAACATCTCAGATGAGGTCCAGGGTGGTAGTGGATGTTGGTGGCCATAGTGGACCTTGTCAAAAATGAGACTCATATGCTAGACTTTCAAGTTCACCTGGAAGACATGTTTGAAAAATGAGAGTAGAGACTTGAAATGTCATATATTACAATGTATATTTTTAAAACTGCCATAGTAGTCAGGCAGTTTTAGGAGTAAAAGGCGGAGGTTTGAGATATACAGAAGAGAAGGCCATGGGAAGACGGAGGCAGAGATTAGAGTGATGCAGAGGGGTAGCTGAAGCCACCAGAAGCTAGAAGAGGTGAGCACTACCCCCCCACCTGCCACTCCAAGCCATTTACAACATGGCCAGGCCCAGGGATGCCTGGAGGGAGCAGCTGCAGGTCTGTTTCCTGCGTTGCCCTGTAGGGGACAGCCTCACATTTAGGAGAAATCAGCTTTGCTTCATTCATAAACACTAAGTTAGCCTAAGACACTCGAGTGTGTATTCTGTCAAGGCTCTACCCCTTCCCCAGAAGACAAAATTTTGTGGTACAAATTTTATAAACTTTATCCCTGGGTAAAATGCCTAGAGATGTCATTCTTGGTCCTCAGGTGCCAAGCCTCAAACAGAAGACATGGTTTTGACTCTCCACTAGACCAGTGTTTCTCAAAGTGCGATAAACGCAGCACCTGAAAGTCCAGTTTAAAATTCAGAATCTAGAGCCCACGCCCAGGTTTTCTGAATCAGGATCTCCTGGAGTGGGACCCAGGGATGTGCACTGTGAGAAATGTTCTCATGTGGTTTCCACGCACACTCAAGCTCGGAAACCACGGCACTGACGCGCCTGTGACATCCCTCCTCACTCCAAGCACCTGACCTCGATTACAGTCCTGGTTCTGTTACTCTCAGCCTGTTGACTGCGCCTCCAACTTCCCATCTAGAAGATAAAGAAAAATCTTATCTGCTGCATGGTATTTGTCTAACTTTCTTTGAAATCCTGAGATCAGAGGGGCCAGATAAACATAACACTATTATTTATCAACCCTTCACTGACAAAAGGCCCTGTCAGCATTTTCTTTCCACTCTACACTACTTTCTTGCCACTGTAGGGAGGACCTGGGAGCCATAGAGATGGTTATTTCCCTCTCGTTGCACATATATGGGCAAGTTCAATGGGAGTTTTAGATACATTTTTTTCCCCTTTGCAATATTCTAAATCATTTCTGCGAACTGCCCCAGGCCAATGGACCTGGTGTAGTCTGAGCTGCTCAAGTCTCCAAAGGTCTCATAGCCCAGCCTCCGAAGCCAGTCACTCAGTGGACAGCAAAGCCAGTCCCCTTCTCCAGCCACTCAGGGCCAGGTGCAAACAGGGAAGCCCTCTGTAAAGTGACTGAGTGTTTGCTCAGTGCATGGTACTATTTCTCTCAATGCCCCAACAGCCCCATGAGCTGGCCTCATTATTTTTATTTTCAAAGCAAGCGCGATGAGGCCTGGAGAGGTTAAGTAGCTGCCTGAAGGTCACAGGACTGGTGCGTGGTGTCACTGTCATTGATGGCTGGTCTGTAGCATCCTGTCTGTGTGCTCGGAGCCACACTCTATCATGCCACGTTGCAGAGTGGTGCAGGGCACTGCTCCATGCTCCATGCAGACCATCACCAGGAGGGCTGCTTGCTTCTTCCTCGTCCCCAGGCTTAGGGAAGGGGTTCCACAAACATTGGTTAGTAAATTATGATCCTACATAGGAGTAGTTGCTTGCCCTGAACTTGCGCAGACTTTTCTCATACAGGCTGCCTGACTGGACTGGACGCCCTAAAACCACCTGCCCCGGAGACCCTGCTGCTCTGCCTTGCTGTCTGATGGGATATTAGTTGTATTGGAAGCCCCCGCCCTTTCCCCACAAACTGCTTGCCTACTATGTGCTATAAACTGAATGTATATGTCCTTCCTCCCAAAATTCATATATTAAAACCTAGCCTCCAATATGATGGCATTTGGAGGTGGAGCCTAGGGAGGTGATTAGGTGATGAGGGTGGAGCCCTCATGAATGGGATTAGTGCTCTTACAAGAGGCCCCAGGGACTCCCTTCCTCCTCTCTGCAATGCGAGGACACAGCTGGAAGACAGAACCAGGAAGCAGGCTCTCACCAGACACCCAATCTTCCAGCACCTTGATCTTGGACTTCCCAGCCTGCAAAACTGTGAGAAATAGTTTGTTATTCAAGCCACCCAGTCCGTGGGAATTTCTTTATAGCAGTCCAGGCAGATGGGCTCCAAATATTCCACCTGCATTCAGCCTGTGGGACTGAATTTCCCTGTGGCCCCAGGCAACTGAAGAGTCCTTGTCTTTCCAGGGTCCAACCTGCTGCAGCTCGAGAGTCTCCATCAGAGGCAGGCTATTCCTCCCCACCCTGTCTCACTGTGGGTGCCATTCCAACCTAATCACACTCACAGGTGTGAGAGGATGATGGATCATCAATACGGATTCAGGGACGTACTGTGCAAACAGAACGCCAAGCTTTTATGATCCTACATTCTCTCCCGGCTGGTGATCCCATTGAAATTATTACAAGTAATAAAAAAAGCAATCATCCTACCATGTCGAAGATATAGAGTGGGGCGTTCAGCAGACTAGAGACTTCAGCATTTTTATGGGGGTGGAAGGGTCTGCAGCACTGTGGGGAGAGCTGTCATCCAGAGATGCGGCCCAGGAGGCCCCCGAGCGGCCCGCAGAACTCCAGGCTGGGCTGTGCAGAGCTCAGGAGCGACAAGGGAAAGGACGTGAGATGAGGGTAGAGTAATGAAAAGATGTGTGTGTGTGTGTGTGTGTGTATATATATATATATTTTTCCCCTTACAAAAGTGACACATGCACCTTGTAAAATTCTCTTGATATTGAAATGCCTAAAGTAGTATGAATAATCTTTGCCTCCCATCCTGCAATGGTTGGAATACACCTCCTTACTCCCTACAAGTAATTACTGGTAACAATTTCTGTATCTCTTTCCATATCTTTTCATTAATTTTTTGAAACACATACAAATAAATGTGTATTTATAGGTTTTTAAGAGATAAAATGGGATCACACGAAAGGTGATGTTTTAAAATGAGGTTTTATTTTAATTCAGGTCTGGTGAGACTGCCATGGGAAAGACAGTTTGTCACTCACAGTTCCCAGAAGGAGGGGGCATGCCAGCCACCCAGGACCACTTGAGGAAGCACCAGGGTCAGGAGGCAGGAGGAGGAAGGGGAAGGCATGGGAAAGAGCCTTTATTATGGTGTTTGTGGGAAGAAATGAACCAGGCAGGGTCAGCGGGCAGGCAGGTTTGGGGTTGGTTAGTAAGAACAAGATGTATAGCTGCCTGGTGCCTGGCCCCGGGGAGGTTAGGGCAGGGGCGGTGGCTCCACCTGTGAGCGCTCAGGGAAGGAGGCAGGCGGTGGTCTGGGCTCTGGACTGGTTGGCCTCATAGGAATCCTAAGGACACAGGCTACCAATACCCTTTCAGGTGCCCTCAAGACAATCACCTTGGGGTGAGTGAAAGGACCACGCAGAGCCAATCTCCTTATTACCCTCCCAGCCCCAAGTAGCCTACACCTTCCACCAGCAAACTTACACCTAGAACCCTACAGCCTCAGAGAAAGGGAGCCCGGGGGTGTTCTGGCCCAATCTCTCCAGGTTCCAGATGAAGAAAGAGCGCTTTGGCTTTTATTTATTTCTTGTCATGAGATGGTACAAATTAGTGGGTCCCTTCCCATCAAAGCCTCCTCCTGTGGACACAGTCACAGCAGCTCTAAGGTTACTGTCTCAGGGCATCTAGAAGGGCACTGATGGCCTGTTCTTAGGATTCCCTTGTGAGGTCTGAGGCGATTTGGGCCACAGCCTCTTATCCTGTGCCCTGAGCACAGGAGTGAGGCTGCCCCTGGGTTCCCTGGGGAGCAGAAAAGGCGCCCTGTCTTGGAAGCCATTCTGCGTGGGCAGGGCTGGGCTGTGGGGGTGGGAGAGCAGGAGAAGGGGACTCCCTGGTCCTAGGACAAAGGGCTCCATGGTCTGGAAAGATGGCTTTCTCCGCCCTCAGGAGCAGGCCTGAGGTTTCACGACTGCTCAGTGGGGCTCAGGAGACTTGAGTGCAACCCCCTAGGAATACTTAGCTGTTCCCACTGCCTCTGTCCCCAGCTGAATCGAGACTGCGAGAAAGGCCAGGAGAGATGAAGTGCCCCAACCTGGGCTTCAGAAGGAGGCTTTGTTTGGTGAGATGTCCTTTGCACCTGCTTTTGGGCCTATCACACTCGCTGTCACGGAAAAACTCGTGAGTCTTCAAAGGAGGCTTGAAGTGGAGTGTTAAACAGATTGACGGAAGCTAATAAAGGACTAAAGCCAGGAGCCCTGGGCAACTTCCCTGGGATTCCCGAGAGCTGGGCAGTGAGGGGAAGGGATGAAAGTCTCTT